GGTGTGGAAACAACTGTAAAGTGCTGTGCACAGAGAATAAGCATCATCGGCCATCGCCACAAAGCTGTCTACCCGCGGAAAGCCCAGATGTTTACCTTCTTTCCTCATCAGAACTTATAAAAGCAGTGTCTGGTGTTTAATAATAAGAAAGAAAAACGCAGCATCTGGTAATTTGTCCTTCCCAGCTGTTTGGAATCTGGATAAGCGGGACTCTGCCATAAACAGATCGTGATTCTTATTGTAAATGATGACAATGTTAGTCCATGACGTCGTGCCATGCCCAGTGCCTCCCGGTTCAGATCTGGAAACACACAGGACCCAACAAGTATGGATATACTGCTGAATTCCAGAACTCACTCCCTTCCTCTGCTTAGGATCTGTCCGGAGCAGAAGACAGATCATCTGAAACCTGACCTCCGACCACGCAGTATGGTCTTCTCTCCAGTCACTGGGCAGCAATGGTCACAGAAGACCTGAAGTGTGGCACCTTTCAGCTTCCCCTGACTCATACACCACTGTTGGCACCTACTAGAGTTGGCACCTTTCACACTCAACGTTTTAAGAATAAAATCTTTCTCCCTCCTGGCTATACCCCCTTTACCTAAACTATCAACCATCTCTAGCATGGTACCCTACACAAATTAATAAAAGTGACCTCTCCAACGGTTTTAGTATAAAAAGCATTCTTATAACCCTGGCTTTATTTATTCCATGAGGTAGGCATTATTACGAGAAACCAGAGGTTGAGAACATTAAACTCCTTACACTAGTAATTTTTAAAATAACCAGGCATCAAAGATAGTTCTTTCACATTCAAGTCTCGGGGAAAATTCACCATAAATGAGGACACCTGAGGCTCAGAGGAGTGAAATAACATCCTCCAGCATCCCACAGAGCATAGGTGGCAGGGTCTTATCATTTCCAGCACAGCTAATAAATATGTTTAAATTGGTATTTCTGTCTGTCTGTTTCCAATAAGCCTGAGAGCTTGGAGCTAGGCACCTCACTTTCAAAGGGTTACGTGGCCTGCTGACTATTTTGGTGGGGGTGAGCACAGCAAAAAGGTGCCTCTACCTTTTTTTTTTTTTTTTTTAAAGAAAGAGTGGGAGAGAGAGAGAGAGAGAGAGAGAGAGAGAGAATTTTTAATATTTATTTTTTAGTTCTCGGCGGACACAACATCTTTGTTTGTATGTGGTGCTGAGGATCGAACCTGGGCCGCATGCTTGAGCCACATCCCCAGCCCCGGTGCCTCTTCCTTAATGGCATGTCTAAGAGGGCTGCTGAAGATCCCCTGGGGGGTGCTGGTTTCCTTTCAGGCCACTTGGCTTGACTGTGAGGAATATGCCTACAGCAACACAGAGGCCAGGTCGGAACCTCTCCTAGTCCTTGTCCTGAGATTTCCCTTCTCCCCAGGCGGGATGATGGCAGAGCCCCTGATCTGCTGGGTGGCCTTCTACATAGCAGACACTTTCCCTACCTGCAGACCTCAGTTTCCTCATCTTTCAAAGGTGTGTTAAATCCCATCCCATCAGCCTCACCAGGAGGCTGTGAAGAAAAGCAGTTTAAAATCCTTTCGGAGAAAAAGTAACCACAGAGTCCAATTTAAGGTACAAAGCAAGGGGCTCTTTCTCCTATCCCTTTATCCTCCTCTGTCCTTTCCAAATGCAATGTGCCTTATTTTAGACATAAGCAAAAATAATTGGGGTTTGGAGGACTACAAGTAGAAAGATCGTAGGCAAAGCATCAGATGAAAGATCTCTAACCACAGCGTGGAATAAAGGTTATGTCTGGGACAGGCATTCACTAAGGCTGAATCTGCAGATGACAGCCATGATTTTTTTAAACACAAGTCGTTACAGGAGGGTATGTGTGGAAGGGAGGACCGTGTGTGGAGCAGGGCAAGCCAGGGACTCATGGCGGCAAACATAACTCATCTTGCTATGCAACACTTCTCTCTCCCTGGTAAAAGAGACTTTGTATGTGTATTCCAGCAGTAGTACTCTGTATGTATTCTTTCCCATACCTATCCTAAACTATGATCTTTATCTCTTGGAGAAGAGACTGATGCTTAAGACAAGAAGACAAGAAATAGCTCTTGAGGCTGGAGTTGTAGCTCAGTGGTTGAACGCTCGCCTTGCATGCGTGAGGCACCGGGTTCGATCCTTAGCACCACATAAAAATAAATAAATAAATAAAATAAAAATATTATGTCCATCTACAACTAAAAATATATATATATACACACAAACCCACACACACACACACACACATATATATATGTATATATATATATATATATATATATATATATATATATATATGAAGAAATAGCTCTTGTGTATGAAGTCAGGTGTTTTCTTTAAAAAAGTAAAACTACTATACTTTTATTTCATTTGACCAGGCCCCAAACTGGGAAGCCAGCCAGCCTACCTCTTTTAAGGAGCTGGGCTGATGCTGAGGAAGGGATGTCCACGGCCATAAAACACACAATTATCATCTTCCTTAAAAATCACCTGGAAAAAGACTGAAGAGGTCCCAAGTGCTGATATGATCAAGCCCCAAAGTTTCAGTTTCTCCCAAAGGAGAAAAAAAAAGGGGGAGGATGGGCACAGGACCTTAACAATTTCTCCAATTTCTGGTTAATTATCTGTCAGCATGGAGCCTATAAATAATGGCTCAATAATTAACTATGATGAGATGAGCATGTTTGTGAGAATAGCAAAGGCATCCCTGAGTTGAGCCATGACCTGTACTGGGCCTGCCTTCTATTCACCAGCTTCAGTGGTTGCAGAGGACACTGAAAAATGACTCCGGCCAAGAGGACCCTTCCAGAGCACCAAGTACAGAAAAGATATTTTTAAGTCAAGACCTGACCCAGGCTGGATTATAGATTCAGAAACTTTTCCATCAAGAATCTAGAAACCGTCTGGCATAACAAATTCCTCACTTGACAGATGGGGAAACTGAGGTCCCAAGAGGGGAGAGGGTCCTGCTGAAGGCCTCTGGTTTTTGTTATTTAAGGCAATTGGAACACTTCAAAGTATGCTTTCTGCCACTCAGAAACAAACATCAGTTACAGGAGTTCCTACTCCCCCTAACATACAATAAAATTTTGACATTTCACACAACCTTTATCAGAAACATACAGAAGCAAAGTTACATAATCTGAACTTTCTGTGCACATTCCCCCAAAATGTGCTTATTGAGTTTAAATTAGATGCTTCTTAAAGCAGGGATCCTTTCAAGACTGTCAAATTAGTTCCAAACAATAAAAGAGAAACTGAGGAACTCCAGAGAAAGTTTCACCAAGTTCTCCAGAGTATCCCTACAAAGGAATCTCTCACACCGGCGGCCAGGCACTTTGGCAGATCCCGACTTACCCTTTCCAGCGAAGGCAGCCTTGGACGAGCTGTAGTCTCGGGGACTTCGGGGCCTGAGGAGGTCGTGGGTGCGCTGGGGTGGCACAGGCAGCCGAGGTAGCAAGTCCCGCGGGCCTCCATCAACGCAGCCACCGCCACTCACCGTGACCCTGAAGGCCATGTGCGCTCCAAGACCAGGGCCTGGGACACCGGGGGCCTCCTTGGGCCTCTTGTCTGAAAGTACCTCGGCCACCTCGCAATGCATGGCTCCTGGGCGAGGCGCACGACTGGGGGTCACCCAGACTCCTGAAGTGGGGAGACGGTACAGGCGCATTAGAATGAGGGAAGCAGATTCTTTTCTTGCTGGGCCCAAGTTTGGCAGTTCACTGCCCCCACGGTTTAGGTCTCAGGTCTCAAATAGCTTTGCGCCACCACACCTACCTCAACCCTAACTCACCTGATGCGAAGCCTCTTAGTCCGCGCAGCAATGGCTTTCAAGATCCCAAACTTGGGGACGACCATAGTCACCCGCGCATTCCAGTGACGCCCCCTGGGCCCTCCCACCCAAATCCGCCTCCACCGCGACCAGCCCTCTTAGAACGAATGGTGAAACTGAGGCCTGAAGCGGGGGGCTCCTGTCCATAGTCCTCTAGCGGGACAGGGAGCCAGCGGAGACAGAAGTCACAGAGCAGGGATAGGGCGAAGCAGCGGAGATCGCTCCGGGTGGGTCAATGGCTGCGCACCTCCAGGGCGCTGCGGCGCCGAATTCAGCGCAGAAGCGGCTGACCGCGTACTCAGGAATCCTGGGCGCTGATCCTCTGAGACTCACTGGTGATTCCCCCAAATCCAGAAAACGGTAGTCGGAAAATGGGAGCTCATCCGCGCTGCGCAAACCTATCACGCGCACCCCGGGACACGCACATTCCTGCGCGTATTAGGAAAACAAGACCGTCGCGCGCGCAAACCCACACGGAGTCAGTAATGCCGGTGAACGCCGGCTCCCACGCACACCGCACACCCCAGTCAGTGCGCACTCGGGGACGCGATGTGCCACACAAACTCTTTCACACGCTCAGATACAGCAACGCTAACAGCTACACAGTCTCACGCTCTCGACACGCGCGCGCGCTGGAGCCCTCCTCGCCGGAGTTTCTGTCTTCCCATGATCCGTCCTGGAGTACGGGCCCGGACCCCCAAACTCTCCTTTCCCCTCGGCGCTCCTCGCGCCATCCTAAAGCTCCTGTACTTGGGGCAAAGCTGGTACTCCCAGCCTCGGATCTCCGGCCCTGGCGCCCGCCCTTTCCGCAGGCCGCGGGCCGCGCCCCTTCTCACCTCGCAGCGGCCGCTGCAGCTCGCGGGGCGCACGGCTCGGCGCGCCTCCTCTGGCGCCGCAGCCCCCGCAGCCGCCACCGCCGCCGCCGCCGCCGCGTCCTGCGGGGCGGCACCCCGGGGGCGGGGCGGCACCCCGGGGGCGGGGCAGCACCCCGGAGGCGGGCCGGGCCGGGTCGACAGCTTCCCGACAGTCGCTCGGGCCACTGGCTCACCGCAGCCGCCCAGCCGAAGCCAATCGCAGTGCGCGGGCGGGACTCCTCGCCTGGGGGCCTGGGCGGGGCCCGGTGAGGGGCTGGGCGGAGGGTTTGACAGGCGGCGGCCGGTTGGAGCCCTGCTCGGTCTGCGGCTCTCTGGCCACAGACCCCGGTTGGACTGAGGAGTGGCGCAGCGGGAGGGAGAGTCTGGGCACTATACCGACAGCCAGCAAGCTGAGCGTCCACGGAGCCCGGATCGACCCGGCTTCCTCCCCGCCTCTCCCAGTGGCCTCGGACAGGATCCATCACCTCTGCAGGTCGGGTTTTCCCCGGGTCTAAAGAGAACGCCACAGATGCGAACGCAGAGGTAACAGATATTAAAGTGCTTGACAGTTTTCTTGCAGAATCCAACCCGCTCTCGGAGATTTATAGCGAGTCATCAGCAAAGCTGGGACCCAACCCAGGCCTCACAGCCCACTTTATCACGTTTTGCTTTTGTGGCACGTGTTTTCCACTGGTCAGAGTCCCTTCAGGCAATAGGGTCTCAAAGTGCCTCTGGGGCCTGTACCCAGTTCCTCCTGCCTTCTGGGCTCCTGCACATACAGCAGTGTCTCAGGGGGCCCTGCCCAACATACAGGAAGAGCACTGGACAAAGAATAAGACGTCCCAGCTGAAGGTAAAGCTCAGTGAGTAAAGCACTTGCCTTATATGCGTGAGGCCTGGATTTCATCCCCAGACCAAAAGAAAAGAACAAATAAACAAAACCCTTCATCATGACTGGAAGCAATGGCTCAGATCCCCTTCCTGAGCCTCAGTTTCCTCCTGTGTAAAATGGGATTGTTCACCAGGCCTGGCCTATCTGCAAGAGCTACTGAAGAATCCAGTGTGGACCCTGAAATAGTCTCTAATGTCATCTACCCTCCGGCTTTGTCCAGTTTGCTGGTGATGAGACTTGTCTGACTTGGCACTCTTTTTGGGTCTGGTCTGTTTGTCCTTGGTCTCAAATTGAAAAATGGATGTGAAGCTTCTTACTACTGCAAAAGTGAGATTTACAGCATAGGCTTCTGCATAGAATGAGACACACCAAGCAGCATTCCCAGAATCTTGAAAACCAGGATGTTAGAACCAAAAATCATAAGATTTAATTTCCTGTAATTTATTAAACGTAGTGGCCTACAAAGAGGAATAATAGTAAGAACAACCTTGGAGTTTTAGTTACACTCACCCCTACATTTAAAGGAGGGATGATGTGTGCCTGGCTGGCAGCATCATGGTAGGGTATGGCAGAATGAGCATCAAAATCCGGGCTTCCTGACTCCCAGTCCAGTACTATACCACTCATGCTGCCTCTTATAGGAACAAGGGCTGCACGAGGCATCTCCAGGATCTTGCCTGTCTAAGGATTTGGAGCTGGGAATTGCTGCTACTTTTTATGGCAGGAGGAGAAAAGAGGTAGAAAGAAGCAAGAGTAGCTCACTAACCACTAACCAGTAGCACTCTCTAGCTCTTTCTTTCTCTCTTCTGAGGTACCAGTACTGGCTCTACTGCCAACAGTTCATGTGGCTTTAGCCAAATCATAACCTCATACTAGTTCTCGGTTTCCCCTCAAAGGTAAGAAGGTTGGAAGATCTTTGATCTTTTCAGTTCTGCCCTTCAGTGAGGCCAGGAGCTGAGTCCTCTGTCCTCCCACCCCCAACACACACACACACACACACACACACACACACCACTGAACATTTAGTCTGGACTCTGGAAACATTTACTGAATGAGTCACTTAACCAACTGGACTTGCAGGCAGAGACTCTCCAAATTTCCAAATGCAGCAACAGTTCATTCAGTTATACTGTACTGCACACCTACCCTGGGCCAGCCCACTACCTGCCTTTCCCTAAGCAAACTCACAGGTCCATCCTACCAGTACAGATGGCTTATGAGGCCCAGCAAAGCAATGAGAAGGTTAATATGTTCAATACAATAAACCTCTTAAACACAGTATAAGGCAGTGTCCCTGTGGGGATATATGGGATTCAGCAGAAATTTGGTTTTCTTAAACACAGGAAATTGTTTACAATGATTAAGGATGGAGCAAGACCTGAACTTTTCCTTTTTTAAACTTTTTCTAAATTGCTTGTGTTTTCTAACAATACATACTATCATCCTTCCCTTCCAGCAGGGGTTGTTTGAACAGTGGAATTATGGGTTATATTTTTTCTTCGTATTTTTAGTATTAAAATTAAGTTCATTAACATTTTAATTGTCAAGAACAAAACAAAGCAAAATGAAACCCACTTCTCACTTTAGACAAAAATGTGTGCTTTTCATACTCACCCATGTTCCAGCTCAAACTGTTTTATATTCTAGTCTCAAAGACAGTCTGTCTATTTGATAACGCCATCTGGATTCACCTGCCAAACTAAATACCATTTTTTCTTCTCTTACTTTGTCCTCACACCTGTGTTCCTTTCTGGGTGAATGGCTCCCTGACCAAGTCCCTCAAGTCAGTAATCTGAAAGTTATATCCTAGGCTCCTTCTCTCCCACACTCCCAAATCTGATTTGTCATAATCCACCTAACACTCCCCCTCCTCTCCATCCTCATGTTTATCCTGATTCTTCTCACTGCCTCTCTCCCCCTCTTTCTACTATTAATTATCTATTTTACACTCTGGTCTCCCTATTGATCTCCAAAACATATATCTCACCATAGTACTTCCCTGTACTGTACCAATGGCTTCCAATAGCCATCTACGTTTTCTAACCCTACCCTCAACTCAATCCATGTTCCAAGCACCGGGGAATAGTTTTCATCTCCTAGAACCCAGAACTTATATTCTTGTCTTCAGAACTGTGTATCTGAGGCCTCCTGTGCTAACACTTTCCCCGCTTATCCACCTTGCATATTCCTGCCCATAAGTCATTTAATATCCGGATCAAGTGTCCCTTTTCCCCCAGAAGCCTTCTCTGAATCCTCTGGCTAAAATCATCTTCTCACACACTCTCAGAACTCTATTTGCTTGAGTCTATCTAGAACATATCACACTGTTTTCTAAGTGCCTATTTAACAATCCACCTCTAGACTGAGCTATGGGAGGGCAGGGAGTAGCCTTTTGCATGTGTACCTCCAAAACCTAGCAGATATTTTTGCACAAAGTCAGGATGAGGCAAATGTTTGCTGAATTATTGGATCAGTTACCAAAGAGTGATCACTACTTTCTTTGCTTGCCTGCATTTCTATGTAAGTGCTTCCTCTCGCCATCTTTGTCCAGGGGTGTTTTAGTCAGCTTTTGCAACCAAGATACTCAACAAAAACAACTTAGAAGAGGAAAAGTTTATTTTGGCTCACTGTTTCAGAGGTCTTAGTTCATAAACAGCCAACTCCGTTGCTCTAGGCCCAAGGTGCGGCAGCACATCATGGGGGAAGGGCCCTGCAGAGGAAAGCAGCTCCCCTCATGGCAGTAAGGAGGGAAAGAGAAGGGGTGGGGGGGTGAGGAGAGAGAAAGAAAGAGAGGGGGCTGCAGGGCGGATGCACCCTTCTAGGGCATGCCCCTACTGGCCCATCTCCTCCAGACACACACACACACACACACACACACACACACCCTGCCTTCAGTAAGCACCTCAGCAGGTCTTGGTTACTTACCTGGAGGGTAACCTACACCTTGGTCCCACCTGGATTGGGTTATTATAGTTCCCAACTAACCTTAATAACAGGACATGGTCATACCAAGAGATGCCTACAGGATCTCCTGAATTCTAGGCATACTCTTCCTTCCCTCCATTGTGGAGAGTAGTCCAATCTCCCATTGGTAATCTAGATCAATCTCCCCCACCAATACCAAAACTCCCTTCTTAGCCTGTTGACTGAGAAGCATGAGGAGCCCAAAGCTGCCGGGGGGTAGTATTGACTTCCAGTTCAATATAAGTATACGTTGGGCAAATAGCTGAGGTAAAAATAGGTATTTCTGTCTCAGGTCTCCTGCACCCTGGAGACAGAAGAAAAAGGAATGGAGGCGATGAATGTCATACTGTTTACTCTGATACTCTTTCTTGTAGCAAGGCCCAACTTTACATTCATTGTGCCAGATACTATGATCCTCCCATATGTGATCTCATTTAATCCAGACAAGACCACTGAGATAAAGAGGTGACTGCCCCAATTTTATAGGTAAGAAAGTAAAAGTACAAAATTAAGTGATTTGCCAAAGTTCTCACAGTTAAAAGTGCCTGGCTCCCATACATCTGTGGCCAACTGATTTTCAATAAGAATGCCAAAACCCCTTGCTGAGGAAAGAGCAGGCTTTTCAACAAATGACAGTGGGAAAACTAGATATCCACAGGCAAAACAATGAAGTTAGACTCCCCTATCTCATACCATATACAAAGAATAATTCAGAATGGACTGATGATCTAAATATAAGAGTAAAAACAATAAAACACTCAGAAGAAAACTTATGGGTAAATCTTCTTGAGTTCAGATCTGGCAATGAATTCTTTGATGGCACCAAAAACATGAGCAACAGAAGAAAAAATAGATAAATTGGATTTCAACAAATATGAAAACTTTTCTGCATTAAAGACATTATCAAAGCAGTGAAAAGACAACCTAGCTGGGTGTTGTTGTGCACACCTGTACTCCCAGCTACTCAGGAGGCTGAGAAGAATTGCTTAAGCCCAGGGATTCAAGACCAGCCTGGGCAACATAGCAAGGACTCACCTTAAACATACACACACACACACACACACACACACACACAAAATGAGAGAAAATATTTACAAATCACACATCTGATAGGGGTCTAGTATCTAGAATATATAGAAAATCTTGGATGGGTGCTGTAAAACATTCATTTGGAAATTCCATAGAATGGCTTCTTTCAAGGTTATGGCCCTGGTGCTGTCAGGCTGAGGGACACGAACAAGTCACCATCCCTGGATCCTGAATACCACACCTGTCAAATAAAGATATCTGACCTATCAGGGCTTCCAGAGAGACTCAGTGAAAAGGTAGAAAATATAAATCAACCAGAAAAACAAAGATAATGATTGATTATTAATGAAGTACCCAACTATTTCTTGCACTATTTCTAGTATTCATCTTACAACAACAACTTTTAAAGACAAAACGCTAGAGAATTCCAATATGGAATGGTCACAAAGGACCACCAAGGATGTTTTAAATAAAAATTTATATGAGAATAAGAACCAATTTAAATGAGGAATAGAAGGAAACTTTCTCAACCAAATAAAGCATATCCTTTTGTACAAAACCAACCAAACAACAAAAACACCAAAACCTACAGCTAACATCACATAGTCACCTCTACATTTAGTATAAAGACCTCTGAATGCTTTCCCCAGGATCAAAAACAAGTTAAGGATATCTGTTTCATATTCTGATTCAATAGCATCCTGGAAGTTCTAGCAACTTCAGTAAGGTAAGAAAAAGAATAAAAAATATACAGGCTGAAAAGGAAGAAATAAAACTCTCTATTGGCTGGTGACATGATTGTCTACAAAGAAAATCCCACAGAAGGGCTGTAGCTCAGTGGCAGAGTGCTTGCCCTGCATGCGTGAGGGACTGGGTTCGATCCTCAGCACCACGTACAAATAAGTTAAAAAAATAAATGTCCATTGATAACTAAAACAATGTTTAAAAAAAAAGAAAATTCCATGTAATCTCTATACTCAAAAACAAAACAAAAACCTCCTAGAAGTAATAGATGAGTTTACCAAAGTTTCAGGACACAAATTTAATATTTAAAAATCCGTAGCATTTATTACCATTGCACTGAAAAATTCTTAGATGCAAATCTAACAAAATATTTACAGAACCTGTATGCTGAGAACTACAAAACACTAAAGAATGAAACTAAAAAGGCCTAAATAAATGCAATGATATACCAGGTTCATAGTTTGAAAGACTAAATGTTATTATTATAACATTTAATTAATAATAATTAATATAATTTCTTAAGATGTCAATTCACCTTAAATTTGCCTGTAGATTTAATACAACTTCAATCAAAATCCCAGTAGGATTTTTTTAAAGAAATAATAACCCAATTCTAAAAAGCAAAGGAACTAGAATAGCCATTTAAAGCAACAAGCTAGAGGACTCCCAACCTGCTTTTAAAACCCACTGTAAAGCTATATCATCATGACAGTGTGGTGTTGGCAAAAAGATATATACATAAACCAATGAAATAGTGAGTCCATAGATAGATCCACATATTGGCCACAAGATTTTTGTCAACATTACAAAGGCAATTCAGTGGAAGGATACTCTTTGTGTGTGTGCCCGCGCGCACTCGCGACATGCACATGTATATGCACAATATATGCTGGGAATTGAACCTAGAGGTGCTCTATTACTGAGCTACATCCCCAGCCCTTTTATTTTGTATTTTGAGACAGAGTCTCACTAAGTTGTCTTGAACTTGTGATCTTCCTGCCTCAGCCTCCGGAGTCACTGGGATCACAGGCATCCATCACCATACCCAGCACAAAGGAGTTCTTGAAGTCTTGAAGGAGATGTGTAGACCCACAAAACCTCCTTAGAGTGGTCAGAAGACAATGGCTAGGAGTGTAAGAAGGAAGAACCAAGTTCGGCCTTCCAGAGCACTCTACATTCTCATCCAATGATATTGCTGCCTGAGACTCACAGAGCTTCTGACCACTGGAATTATACAAATGGATGCATGACACAAGGCCCAGACCATTAGGGAGAAAGACTCCATGCTGAGAGGATGTGAAGTGGGAAGGGAGATTTCGAGGGCCAAGGAAGCTTTCCTGTGGAGGTGATGGCTAAACAAGAACCAAAGAGGATGAGAAGCTATTGGTTGCTGAGCTGAGGAAAAGCTTCCACCAGATAACAGTACGCAGAAAAACTCAGAAACTCAGGAACTGAGTTCCCTTCCAGGCAGTGTGACTGGAGCTGCAGAGTGAGGGACAGGAGGGCACCAAAGGAGACTGGGGAAGGGAACGTGCGTGCTGGGTCCTGAAGGCACTGAAGGATTTCAGGGAGAGGGACATGATCAGATCTGTTCTAAAAACAGTCTGTCAACTGTCGTGTGGAGAACCAACTGAGAAAGAGGCAAGAGTAGATGCTGGAAGAAGAGGCAGAAGTCCAAAAGAGAGCTGCTGAGGGGTCTGGACTTGGTGTCAGAGCTGTGGGGATGGGCAGAAGGGGCTAGAAGGCTGCTTTACTTAGGAAACAAACTGGACACGCCTGGGTGATGGGGATAAAGGGACATGAGAGGCTGGGTGTCTGGAAGAACAGTGGCTTTAGAGTTTGGAACTTCCCCTGGGTGGCCCAAGGCATTCTTTGTCTTTAGTAGTGGTTTCCAGAAGCAAAGAAGATGTCACAATTACCAGACTCCTAAGTTAGACCCCTTCCTCCTGTTCATCACATGCAATTGCTTTTCTATACAAATTTTAATTGGTTTTCAACAGAATCAGACTTAATAGAAAATGCACATCAAATGCTGTTAATGAAGACAATAAGATTTTGACAGCTTGCAAAATTGTGAGGGACAATGTGGGTTATCTGTATAGAAGGGGCCTGCTGAGGAAGCACTCAGTACCATGCCCTGGGAGGTGTTCTGGCACACGTGACTACATATACACATTCAACAGACAGCAATCCTATGAAGAGGGAATACTGTCCTACTATAGATGCTGGAAATGAGATCCCAGGATGTTAACTGACTTGCCTGAGGTCTCAAAGAGGGCAAGTGGAAGATTCAGGGTTCAGCCTTAGGTCTACCTGACCCCAAATGCCACCATCTTTCCATTGTCACCACACCTTACCTTCAGCTGAACTGGACCCTTCCTCTCCTTCTGTATAGAAGGCCTTCCCAGCTGGCCACTCTCGTCCCAGTCTGTCCAGGTCTCCAAAGGCATGCTCCATCCCAATCAAACACCAAACATACAGAGCCCCTATCTTACTGTCTCCTGAGACCACCATACTCACTGTCCCTCTCAGAGCACTTATTTTCTGTCATATTGTTACACACTTATTTGTGGATTTACTGTATTCCCAATAAGAAGCTATAGAGTCCTTGAAGGCAGGGACTTCATCTGTGTATCACGGATGTTTAGTGGTTTGTGGATTCAACAGGTCAAAAAGTTAGAAAATGAGGTCAAACAATGCATCCATGAGCAAAAACAGAACAGCTGATTATTCAAATTTTTATTAATTTTTCCCTACCAAATAAATAGCAAGTTCATAAAAATATTATATAGATTCATATGCTTCTTTTCAGGCACATAAGAAAGTCTTCTAGACTTATATGCAGAAAGCACTCTAAACAACTGAAGAATGAAGCTGACTTCATAAGTCATTTTGAAATGAATCTTCCAATTGACCGGTGAGTCCTTGCTTCCCCAATGTTGAAGAATAACACCAGGGAAGCACGCTGAGGCAAGGTCAGAGTGGAAAATTAGAAGTTTATTAAAGGACTTCTCCAGGAGGAAGAAGGGGACCCAAGAGGTGGAATCCACTGAAGGGCATTGAAGGGCAAATATGTTCCCCTTTTTATAGTTTTTGGTGATGGAATGTAGGTGGGAAGGTCCGAAGGGTTGGGACACAGGTGGGCCAAAGAAGTAATACAGGCATTTACCAGTCAAGTTTGCTGTTCATTAACATTTCTTTGGGATGGGCTATCTTCAAATCTGTTGGGGGCTGTTTCCTGGGCTTCATTAACATTTCTTTGGGATGGGCTATCTTCAAACCTGTTGAGGGCTGTTTCCTGGGCTTCCTTAACATTCCAAGAGTTGCTCAACTTTTCCGGAAACTCATTCTCAACATGGCCTCCATTTTAGATTTCACTCGATATTAGACCCGATTTACCTAACTACACTGACTATCTAACTTTAAATCTGGCTTCACAATTACAAAATCAGCTTTAAACATTTGATAGACATCTTCTTGTATAATCTTCTGTTCAAAGACTTTCTTTTACGAAACCCATATTTACCTTCTTGTGTACCAAATTCAATTCACACAATGTTACAGTTAGAAGACAACTTAAAAATTATTCAGTCCAGTTCTTTGGTCTTGCAGTTGAAATGGAGGTTTAGTGATATGGAATCCTAGCTCAAGTTCACAGGGCTAGATAGTGCCAGAGGTAAGACTAGAACTCAATTCTTCCAAAACTGAACTCAAGGAAAGAGACTGCTAGCAGCCCTCCTGGACATCCTTTCTTTCCTTTTCCTCCAGTAACTGAAAAAAACAGCTTCATTAAGGGATTACACACAATCCCTAAAAGGCCTTTCCCAGACACACACACCCCCCACCAGATATGGCCATGTGACTACACTTTAGCCAATGAGATATAAGCATAGGTGTGTAGACTTTCAGGAAGGGAGGAATGCCCCATTCTACTTCTTTCTTCTGATTATCTGGAATGGAGCCCTGAATTCCTGATAACCTCAGGGAGTCACCAGAGCAGCGCTGGACAGTCTATTTCTGCATCTTTTATGTGAGGAAAACATAAAATCAAATTGCTACTACTTGATCTACCTCTTTTTTTTTCCTTTTAATTTTCAGTTATATGCAACCAAACTTAACTCATCCATTCGGGCTTCCCACCCCACCCCATAAACCTGTTCCCCCATCTCGGCAAGTGGCAATTCCATTCTACTAGCCACTCAGGTCAAAAACCTTGAAGTCAGTACTAATGATTTTATTTCTTTCATACCCTTACAAGTCCACCAGCAGAACTTTCAAGGCCATAGCTCTGGTCCTAGCTACCATCCTCTGCTGGTTTATACCAGTGGCCTCCAAAGGAGTCTCCCAGCCTTCATTCTTTCCTGCCACCTCCCCACCCCCATTCCCAGTCTACTTTCCATACAAGAGCCAGACTTGACTTTTTAAAACAAGACACCCTACCATGTTACTTCTTTGCTCAGGACTTGCAGTGGCTCCTCCTGATTTAGTGAGAGCAAAGTCCTTTCAGAGTTACTGGCCTGATGAGGTCTGGTCCCAACCCCCCAGGCACCTGACCTCACTATGCACCCCTCACCCACTGAGCCCCAGTGCAGTGCCCTTACCCTTGTTGGTGTCCCTTGAAGTCATCCTGCAAGCTCCTGCCTTGGGGCCTTTCTCTCCCCACAGATATCCACAGGTTCTCTCCTTACCTCCTTCAGGCCGCTGACTACATATCCTTTCATCAGGGAGAAGTTCCCTGACTACCCTGTCTAACACAAAACCCCACTCCACTCTCCACTAGTTCTTCAGAACATTCACCACCACTTTTTGTTATGTTCATCACCCATCACTGCCCACTGGAAGGATAAACCCATTTGTCTTGTTCCTATTATGCTCTCAGCGCCCAGAACAGTGCCGAGCATGCGGTAGGAGCATGCTCAATGCATGTTTACAGATAGGATGGATGAACAAATGAATGCTAAGCCTGTGTCCTTTAGGTATTTCACGCTGCCTCTGATTAAAATCCAGGTACAAGTGTATCGTTTATAAGGCCATTTGCTCCAGGGGCAAGTACTGCTACTGTAGCTACTTGCTATCCCTGTGTAAACTTGCTAAATATTTACTGACAATAAAAATCAGCCAGCTTTGTCTTATTAGTTAACTATTCCAATCATAATTACAATGGCTAATAGCAACCACAAAACCCTAAAAATTTAGAAATAAGAACAACAGGCAGCAACAGCTCACCAGGCCAATTTGTGAGAATCCTGAGTCAAATGTTCTTTTTTATAGCACCCCTAAATGCAAAACCTTTCCTTTCTGCTCTCAGTGAGGAGGGTCAAACTGACCACTCGCTACCCAGTGAGGTACACAGCTGTCCTCTCAGATGTCCCAGCTTTGTGGGAAAGCCCAGTGGTGAATCTCAAAACTTGAATAAATAAAAGTCCACTGAGAGCTATCTTTTCAGATACAAACTACTCCTTTTCAGAGTTGGAAATTTTTAGTTGGTCTCCAAAACTGAACTAATAAGTCTTCTACTAAAATGAGTTAAGTCTTAAGGGCAACATTTTTGGAGACAGTGCATTATCTCCCAGAGCCTGACAGAGCGCCACACTTCCAAGAAGGCCTAAGAAGCCAAGCCCAGCTTTTTCAGGCAGAGGGCAGACAAGTTTTATAAGGGGGGGGGGGGGGACGACTATTTCTAAGGTTTGGCTTTGAGAATACACAGTTCTCTCATAGATCTTTGGTGACTGTTGTTTTGCGCTGCTAAAATATTCCTTCTTTGGGATAAAAACACGCTCCCCAAACACTTAAGAGCTTGATTTTAAAAACATCTCCCTGCCTCTGAATCCATTTCCATTAACTGTGTCCCTAGGCAAATCATTTCACTTCTCTTCCCCTTAGGTTCCTCTTAAAGAATGCTGGCTCTTAAAAATAATGTGTGCAGAGTGTGGTGCACAAGTCCAGCCCTTAGCAGGTGCTCAATAAATGATAGCTACTGTCACTCCATGAGCAACTATCTACAGAAACCTACTAGGGACATCAGCACTTTTTAACATAACATATGCAAATGACTCATTTTTTTGTAGAGCACTTGGAAGACAGAAAAAATATGAATTAAATTAATCCCCTACCAGTACTGTGAATAAAACTTCCCACACACAGTAGTGGACAATTTTTCCTCTAACAACTTTGAAATAGTGACCTCTGCTGGCCAGTGGAAAACACGAGCCTTCCAATCAACTCTTCCATGACCAAGCAAGGTCTGAGTGAGTCAGGCTTGGTCCCTATCCCTGGAACTAAAACCAGGTGTTGCTTTACAAGGGACAGAAATCGTCACAAGGGTTACCACGATGTAATTGGGATGTTAACAAAATTAAAGGCCGGCCTTTCCATTTGCTCATCCGCCCAGAAGCTTCTTTTTTTTTCAAACTCCATGGTCTCCTATTTTTAAAAAGTCATAATTGCATGCAAATGTTATAGCAGAAAAACAACGCAAGGGGGGCATTAAAAATCAATCTTCCATGTAAGCTTCAGATTTTCCAGCATGAAAATCCAAAAGCAGAAGTGGTGACAAGTGTGTAGAAAACAGAGTGAAAAAGTCAGAATGCATCATTAAGAATGTTACAACCAAAGGAGGGGAAAAAAAACCTCTGCGAGCACATGTCTGATTCAGCTGGGATGAACAACCAACTACAAAGGCGGCTTTTAAAAACCCTGCAAACTTCTTACAGATATGACTGGGAAAGCCAACAAGGAAGCAGTGAGGAGGACCCTTCTCTTCAGACGGAAAGATGCTTGATGGAAGAGGCTGCTCAAGAGTCTGTCGGCTGGGATGGTTAGATAGAAAGCCTATTCCCACCTCATAGGGTGTGAAATGAAACAGGGGTTGAAAACTGGCAGCCACAGGGCTGTGGAGATTGGTTTGGCACTAGCTGTATTTTAAAAAATTAATTAATTGCCAACATTTTAAAATGGATATTTCATACCAAAAATCCAAATTTCTGCCTTATGAACAAATGGAGAGATGTGGACACACTGGGTCTCCCATAGCAACAGTCAATTAGAGGCAACAGCAGCAGCAGGCATCCATTTAGATGAGGAATCTGCTCCCCACTTTTCTGCATCCCCTACGGGGTCAGCTTGTCATCTCATCACCCCCCCAGCTTTTGTAAACACTAAGTCTGATAAACCCTGAGTTAATAACAACTCTAAGACAGTGATGATGAGTTCATCGCAGTTTGTACAAATATCAGGTGCAAAGTACTTTCGCAGTGCTAGGGACATAGAGAATAAAACATGAGGGCTGGGCATATAGCTCAGTTGGTAGAGTGCTTGCCTTGCATGCACAAGGGCCTGGGTTCTATCCCCAGCACCAAAAAAGAAAAAAGAAAAAAAAAAAAAAAAAGATAGGACTGGGCTGGGGTTGTGGCTCAGTTGTAAAGCACTTGCCTAGCATGCATGAGGCACTGGGTTCTATCCCCAGCACCACATAAAAATAAAACAAAATAAAGGTATTCTGTCCATCTACAACTAAAAAAAAAAAAAAAAGAATAAGACATGATCTCTGAACCCAAGGAATTCAGACCACTGGAAAGGAGAAAGTACATTGGTTATTATTATACATGACAGCATGTGTATTGTGAAGGTAAAGACATGGTGGAGATTGAAGTGAGTAAACCTGTATTCTAGTTTTTTGAGATGATACTTAGCTCACTCACATCCAGTCTTTCTCCTTTTTATTTATTTCCTTTTTTAAAATTTTTTTTAGTTGTAGATGGACACAATACCTTTTTGTTTATTTATTTACTTATATTTATGTGGTGTGTAGGATGGAACCCAGGGCCTCACACATGCCAGGCAAGCGCTCTGCCACTGAGCCACAACCCAAGCCTGTAGTCTTTCTCCTTTTCTAATATATGGATTTAAAGATATCAGTTCCCTTCTAAGTATGGCCTGAGCTTTATCTCACAAGTTGCAACATGTACTTATTACCATTCATTGAAAAATATTTTTCTGATATCTATCTATGGTTTCTTCTTTGACCTGTGATTTTAAAGTGTATTTCTTAATTTCAAAACATATGGAATGCTGTAATTCTCAAATTTATCTCCACCTTAATTGCCTTAGACAAACATACTCTATTTTAATCCTTTGAAATTTGTCGAGATTTGCTTTATGAACTAACATATGGTCAGATGTGTAAACATTCAACATGAACTTGAAAAGAATACATGTTCTTCAGTGGGCAGGTGCAATGTGCCTTATGTATACACTAGACCAAGTTTGTTGATTTAGCCCTTCAAATATTCTATATCCTTAATGATTTCTAAAATCTCAGTTCTATCAATAACTAAGAGGTATGTAAAAAATCTTGTTGATTGTGGATTTGTCCATTTCTCCTTGTGGTCCTAACAATTTTTATGTACTTGTTGTTAAAACATAACATACATGAAAGTACATGAGACTCACATATGTGGTTCAGTGAAGTTTTATATGTACACAAACACATAACCCAAGTCAGATAGACACTTATAGCACCAGTCTTACTCATACAAAGACAATATGCTTCTTTCTTCCCCAGTACCACTTTCACCTGTTCTTGAAAAGCATAAAATACAATCATGGTACATATTCCATTGTGTCTGACTTCTTTTGCTTAACATGCCTATGAGCTTCCTTCATGTTGTTAAATAAAGTAGTTATTTGTTCTTTTGGTTTCTATGTCACATTGATTACAAAATTATAGCATAATTTATTTATCCCTTCTACTGTTGATGGACATTTGATTTGTATCCAATTTAGGATGATTATGAAAAACTCTGTTATAACCATCCTTGTAAACATGATTTTTGGAGAGTATATTCTCTCATTTCTCTTAGGCATATACCAATTTGTGCAACTGATAGGTCCTAGAGTAGGTACATGCTGAGTTTTAGCAGATATTGACAATTTTTTACTCCTTTCAGCAATCGTATTTTAATTTTTCTGCATCTTTAACATGTTATCAATCTTTTTGGCCCATCTGATGGTTATTTAGTTCTATCTCACTGTATTTAATTTTTATATTCCTAATAACTAACAGTGTTGAATACCTACCTAATCTTACAGGAAATGTGGATAAACTCCTTTTTGGAAGTGCTTTTTCATCTTTTACCCTATTGTTTTTTGTACTTTAAGGAAAGGATATCAGGTGCATTAGGGTCTTTCTTTCTCTCTTATAAGGCTTTTTAAGTATACTTTGTCAAAATAGGACTATATTGGCTTTATACATATTTGCATGTTTATCCTATCTTTATTTTCACTTTATCTATCCTTATGTTTTAGATGTGTCTCTTGTTATCAGCAAACAGTTGAATTTTTAAATTCAGTTAATGATCTTTGCTTTCTTAGTTAGAACATTTAGTCCATTTATATTTAATGTAATTATTGACATATCTTGGTTTAAATTTACATTTTATTGTGTATTCTATTGACCCTGTTTTATATTTTTTATCTTCTGTTTTCTTTTAGATCGTCTTTTGTTTTCCCACTTCTTTCCCTGTCTTAGCTTGAAACTTCTATTCTTTTAGTGGTTATCTTTAAATTACATTTTTAATATAAGAAAGCCTACTACCGGAATTTTTATTCTTCCTAATGTAAAGCCCTTAGAACACTTTTAACACCCAAGTATTTCAATTTTTCTGCCATTGTATTGTATACTCTAATCTATATATTTTCTAATCTATATATTTAAAACCCTATCCAGTGATTCAGGAGGCCGAGGCAGGAGGATCACAAGTTCAAAGCCAGCCTTAGTAACTTAGTGAAGACCTAAACAATTTAGTGAGACCTTGCCTCAAAAAATAAAAAGGGTTGGAGATCTTCTGGTTTCAATCCCTGGTATCAATGAAAACAAACAAACAAACAAACAAAAAACCTGTAAGGCATTGTTGCATAAATCAACATTCACATTTGCCTTTTTTCTTGTCTTTAATTTCTTTCTGCTTCTTTGAAAAAACAAACAAACAACAACAACAACAACAAAAAACTGCTCTACAAATTAAATTCCTTTTAGTGTGGCCTGTTGACAAAAATCTCCGTTTTTGTTTGTCTGAGAATGTCTTTGTTTCCCCAGTCATTTTTGAAGATTGATACTGGATATGGAATTCTATGTTAGTAGATTCCTTTCAGGGCATTTTTCTGTTCTAGAATTTCTGTGGTTCTTTTTCAATTTAAGTTTTTTATAAATATATAAACACATTTTATATATATATATATATATATATATATATATATATATATATACATACACACACACACACACCCACACACACACACAGTTTCTAGTTCTCTAATGAATTAGAATTTGTTTTAATCTCATTGAACAAAGTGATCATAATTATTTTAATGTCTGATAATGCTAATATCTGGAGCTACTATGGGTCTCTTTGTTGCTTTTGTTTTCATTTATGTTATCTTTTCCTGTGCTTGGTCATTTTTGTGGAAATTTATTGGTGGAAATAATTGAGACTTAGGGTGTTTTCTCCCCCAGAGGATTTATGATAGCTTTTACTAGGACTTGGAGATACTGACACAAGTCATTTCAATCCAACTTAATGAAGACTGAAACTCAAATTACAATTTGGGAGATCCTCATCGTCCTTTCTCCTATCTTTATTTTCATTTTATTTATCCTTATGTTTTAGATGTGTCTCTTGTTATCAGCAAACAGTTGAATTTTTAAATTCAGTTTAATGATCTTTGCTTTTTTTAGTTAGAACATTTAGTCCATTTATATACAGCCCAGAGCTAGGGGGTTTACTGGCTCCTTTTCACAGACTCTGAACTCTAAATTTCATCCTCCATCCTGGGAGATTCTAGGAGCCACCCCTACACCTCCACGCCATGCTCATCTACAAAGGCAGGCTCTCAGAAACCACCTGGCACTGCAAGACCATATCCCTCTATCCTGTTTAGATTCCCTGGAAAAGTGATCCATTTAGGCTAATTTCTTCCCATCAGGAATTTGATTGGCATTCAGAAAACAGCTGGTCAGTCTCTATTACTTGTAAACTCAGGTGCTAAAGGGGAGCTGGAGGAAGTGGCAGAAACCCAACTGGCAGTAAGAATAAAGCACTGATGCAGGCAGAGGTAGAGAATCATTGGGATCCTAAGAGCTTTTCAGGTTCTCTGTAGGGTCTAGAAGCAGATCTATAGTTAGGCTTACCAAGACTTCCCTGCACTCTTAGGACCAACTTTCCTTTCTATCTGAAGCTAATTTGAAGTAGAAATTGTCACTGCATCTGAGTCATGGCAGGAAGGAATCAGTGGACTATTATTAATGGATTGAGATATAAAATGAGAAGAGTCAATATAGCTTGAAAAGAGTACCAAGGTAAAACTGATTAAGATGTCATCCTCCAATATTTCTCTGCCCATGACATCCCACAGGATTTCCAGAACCACTTTATCCCCAGGATCACTTGCAAGGCATACCCAACAGTGTCGGGTAAGATACATGTGTGCAGAACATGAGCACTGGAGGGTACGGTAAAGTCATATAGCTTTGCAAAATAAGGCAGATGACCAAGTTGGTTAGCACCATGACACCTAAGGACATACTATGTTTAATGAAGAAAAAAATCCAAAAAGGCTTAGAGAGGGTACAAAGACAGTCAACAGTTATTGCTGAGAACAGGCCAGAAGCAGAGTAGATGCTCAATCAACAGTAAGACATATCAATTTTGTAAATAAGTAGAAAAAGCATTGTTTGCAAGCCCTCCATACTTCTTCCACACATGATGAACTCTTTGAGGGCAAGTCTATAACTGTAACACCAGTTCCTAGTACAGGGACTGGCATGCAGTAGGCAATGAATGAATGATGAATGAGCAAATGGAAGAATTAAGCAGCATTTTACAAAAATACATCCTACAATTCCTTCTATTAAACTTTCAAGTCAGATGTTTCAGATTTTAGGAAGGCAATAATTATGCATATTATATGACACTCCCCATGGAATCTAGAACAGCACCTCATAATCAAACACTTTACAATGAAATGGAAATAGCCACACTATCTGAAATAAATTAGGTCTATAAAATGGTCTCACATCAATTCAGGTCAGGTTTATCATCACTAATCTTGCCATAAAACAATCTTCTGGATTTCATAATAGTACAGATCCAGTTTTGCTAAAGTTAGTGATTTGCTAAATCCTAGAAGGAATGGAGCTCATAGTGTGCAAGAGGAAGCAGATTTGTAACCAGCTTAATCAATGGGATAAGGCAAAAAAAAAAAAAAAAAAAAGAACAAGCATTGAAAAGACACTGAAATCTACCCAGGAATATGCAGGAAGGCTAAATAAGTCATTCTGAAGAATGGGAAATTTGCCAAAATGACAGAAACTCAAGTAAAGGGAACACATTACACAATGGTGTGAAAGAGCGATTCATGTATCATGTCACCTGCTGTAATTTCAAGGTAAGTATTAAGTACCTTCATATTTGTCTGCATTAACTTCAGGGTCAAATTATAAACTTCAAGCTTTCAATAAATCAGATGGAAGAACTCCACTTTACAGCAAGAGTTGTTATGTTTCCTTCATACAAGAGAATACCACAGGAGAAGTCCACAACAGTGTTTCTCCAAGTGCAGTTTCCTAATTAGCAGTACTAGCACCACCTGGACACTTGTTAGAAATGCAAATTCTTAGCCCCACCCCAGACTTAATCAGTAGTTTAGGAGACAGGATCAGTAACCTCTGACCTAATAAGCTCTTCAAGTGATTCTCATGTGTGCTGAAGTTTGAAGACCTCTCATCTAGAATAAACCTTTTTCAGTGTGATTTTTCAGACAGTCTGCTTAGACTTTATCAAAAACTGTATCACTTGAGGGGCTGGTGTTGTGGCTCAGTGGTAGAGCACTTGCCTAGCATGTGTAGGCACTGGGTTTGATCCCGAGCACCACATTAAAAAATAAAATAAATAAAAAGTTATACATATTAAAAAAACTATATCACTTGGGAACTAGGCCAGACTCTGCATATCTACTAAACAATCCATGTGATTCTGGTGGCCTCTTTCTGAATGTCATTACATAAGATTACAAATTCTCTGAAGACAGTTCATTCCTAAGAGATGTGCTGTAACACTCAGTAAATGTTCTTGATTAGTTAGGTTCACATCAGTTTGCATATTTTTTTTAATATTTATTTTTTAGTTGGACACAATATCTTTATTTATTTATTTTTATGTGGTGCTGAGGATTGAACCCAGGGCCTCACACGTGCTAGGCAAGTGCTCTACCATTAAGCCACAATCCCAGCCCTCAGTTTGCCAGGGCTGCTTAGGAGCCTGACTGAGAACTATGGGAGTACATGTTCATCCTACCCCCTTTCTTGCTCCTCAAAACAATACAGAATTTGCTTACTTAAAAACAGTGGTCAGCAAGTTGCTAAGAATAGTTAGATTGTTAGCTATTTGGTTTTAAAGAAAGATGACTATGGGTTGGGAAAGCATGAGAGGAAGTTGAGCGTCTTAGTACCTCAGCTACCCAGAGGTGAAGTTCAGACTAACTTAAGTAAGGTTGACAGGCACAACTGTTAGCCTGGGGGAATATGATCCCTTTAGAAACAAAATTTTGGCAAGAAAAGAAACCTCTTTTAAGCGATGGCTTTCAGCACCTGAACCCTTCGTTTAGCTCTGGAAGAAAGACAGCCAAGACAACAA